ATAAAGCAACCAAGCAAAGCTTATTTATAAAGCAGTTGATCAGACATTCAGCAAACATTCACTGCAGGTGAGTCTTCCTGGTGCATGTGTTCAAAATGACTGAATTTTTGGTGAACGTAACAATCACTACTTTATAAATTTGCCTCAAAGTGTCTTAGTGCCTTGGAAATTTCAGGAAAATTGAGTTTCGGTGGTTGTGTTATGGAACCTTCACCTTGATTTTAAATAGACATTCACCCTTATTTGTTGGACCGTCCTACACTATAACACTGCCGGGGGGACTGCAGAGGTTGTCCCAACAGCTTTTCTGTAATGAAGGTTGAAGTCAAGAGGATAAAGATGTGAATCATGTGAATGCATTTGGCTCCACCACCCCAGTGCCATCATTATCTGCCATTTGCTTTCATCTGTATAGCCACAGCCTAAACTTTGCAGTTCCCCTCCCACAGATAGAGGGCGATTGAGAGGGCTCAGGCTGAGCACAGGGCGCTATATTCTCTGAAAGCCGTTATTTTTGGGCTAGTGCAATTTTTATTTGATATTTATCCTTACATTAAAATGATTGTACAGGTTCACTTAAAAGACGCATACTTTGTACTGTTGTTTACCGTCAGAAATTACTTTGGAGCTTGGAGTTAGGTCTGAGAATGTGTTCAAGCCCCCTTAGGTCTTAAAGCCCCTGCCTCTTTCAGCTGTCTGTCTTTATGTCAACACAAGCTGTCTCTCAGCAGCCGAGTGTGCATAACGATGTCTTTCTTTGCAAAGTGGAAAGTAAACAATCACAAGGCTCTGCAATTTGATACAGTTATGCACACAATGGGGCTGGGAGACCACATGTGCTATCATCATGCATTTGGACAGCAATCAGGGCCTCTCACCTCTGACTATAGAGCCAAGAGTCACACCTAGGCAAAGCAAGTCAAGCTCAATAAAGACACAGGTTCCTATTTGCTTTTATTTAATGGTTGACAGATGGTGCCCATTATACAGATACGGATTTCACACTAATGATGAATTTGATAATTCTGTTCTAGAATCCACTAAAGTTCGGCCTGTATGTTTTGTTACATAGTACAAGAGACAGGTGAGAAGACTTCTGGAAACATTTCCATAGCCGAGTTAGCCAAATTTGTCCCAGGAACCAGTGCGAGCCAGTGTGCTGCGTCTCTTATGGACTAGTGACAGCACAGTGCAGCAGCATGACCTGTTTGAGTCATGACCTGGTGCTGGCATCTGCCAAAGTTGGCTATAGGCTACTTTTGTAAGGTAAGTGCACCCAAACACAAGCTCTGTGAAATAAACCAAAAAACATCAATATTCATATGGGCCAAAACGGATATTTCATGGAATTCGGGGTCAGTTTACCACACAGGTATTTTTCCGTTCTTGGTGGATACCACAAAGCTGAATCATCCATCAGCTGGATATAAATGAGGTGGTTAGGTCTCTGCGATGAACTTCCAAGTTCTGCCTCCAGGCTCCCTAATGGATTCCCTGTGCAAATATATGAAGAACGCATTCAAAAAGGAGTAGTACATGGAGTTCAACTTACAGCACAGGGGTGGGCAGGAGATGTCTCTGTCGGGTTTATAGATTTAACTCTGCCACACTCCAACCAAAGTTTTTTAACAGTTTTGGGTTGTTATGTTCTATAACCATGGAGACACCTTTGCAGCAGAAGCGTAGCATGAAACTACTGTTGAGTATAATGTGTGGTTGGGGATGTGAGCCATGAGTCCCGGTATGCGGGCCAAAGAAGCAGAATCACGTTCCTGAATTCAGCTTCAAGCAGGCAGAGCCAATCTTTCAGACTGTATGCTAAAAAATGTAGGATCCGATATATCTCCAAAGAATGATGGGCAGAATCAAGTGAGATCTGACACCCACCTTGATCATTTTTGGAGCTCTTGGACCAACCATGATTCTCTTCAGAGTTCTAGAACCCACCTTGATCTCTTTTGGAGCACTAAGATCCACCACAATACTTATCAGAGCACTCAGGGGACCCAGCATGATCTTCTTTGGGGCATTGGTACCTCATGTGATCCTCAGGAGCACTAGCACAAACCATAATCCACTTCAAAGCATTGGAATCCACCAGGTGTTGCCATTGAAGGATTCCCCATCACTTTTTCAGTCCTGGTTACAATGGTCACAACAGCAAAAACCTGTAAAAGATTTTTTGACCCTTCTTTGTGCCTTAAAACATTTTAAGCCAGGGGTAGCCAAACTGCAGCCCTCCAGCTGTGATGAAACTACAAGTCCCATTAGGCATTGCAAGTCTCTGACAGCCACGGCCTTCTGAGGCAGATGCATGAGAGTATTTGTAGTTTCCCCACAGCTGGAGGGCCACAGTTTGGCCACCCCTGCTATGGTCTGTATATACAGAGAAAAGCCTACTTACTGCCTTGTTTGCTGTTTTCATCTAAGCTTTCATGTAGTTCACCTGTCTACCCCACCCCAATTTGTCTGTATTATGGCAATCCTTGAGCTCCTCTGCTGGTGATGCTGGAACACCCTCCTTGACTTTCTCTAATACAAGCAGTTGCAGCATTTACCGAAAAAAGAATTAGAAGCCCATTAAATGCTATCACTTTTTTTGACTAGAATTCCTTTAGTTGGTAATTTATGACCCAACAAAGTCAACATCTGTCTGCTCGAGCCTCCACTACCTTGGCAGCATGAGAGAAGGATAGGGCCTAGCTGACCTGCTATTTGGGTGGACATGAGCCCACTTGCGTATTTTAGGAGTTATACTAGATTGTCTTTTGTTATACTCTGAAGATCTTTCATTAATGATGATTTGTGTTCTCTGTGTGTCTCTCAATTTTTCTTGTCCGTGTTTCCAGATTTGGGACAATCCATATTTTATACAACCGCTTGCCTGTTACCATTTCTGAGTGACGATATACTAAGTACCTTACCCTACACAATGATCTCCACCTTGGCGACTTTCCCTCCTTTCCTGCACAAGGACATCACCGAATATCTCAGTACATCCTTCCTGCCCATGGCCATCTGTAAGTGACCGCATTTTATGATAATTTCCCGATTTTGTATACACAGCCTAATTTTCTTGTATTTTGATCATTATTATAAATGTACAAATCTTACAATAAACTTTCCAGTGAGACAATCTGGAAATGATCCACCATTGCTGGCACCCCCATTGCTTTTCCTTTTGATTGCTACTGCACCGTATGGTATTCAGCTGGTGTAAATACCAACTTCAAAATGGGCCACTCCAAGGTGGGAATGCCAAGCTGGACCCAACGTACTGAGCTAATTTAATTAACACAAGCAACTAAATGAACTTGGCAGTGCCAGTGGCACCCCCTATATATGTTTGGATGTAACAGGGACAGGAAATAAGGTAAAAATGTCCCCACTGGTCTAAAAACCCAACATACATTTTATGAATGACCTTCAATGAGTCTACGGCAGGGGCAGCCAACATTTGCGAGTTCCTACAAAGAAGGGTCAATGTCCCAAGTCCCATCGCAGTCCTGACCGGTAAGTCCCTTTAGGAATAGGGTGCTACAGTGGCAAACGGATGCCACCGCTTAATATTAGAAAGGAAGAGGTTACGGGCACTCCAATATGCTGATCAATACACCTTTATTGACGTATTGTGTACTGTTTTGACTGATGTGCTTGGCCCTGAAATATTGTGTTATGTAATATTGAGCATGCGTCAATGAAGGCGTATTGATCAGCATTTTGGAGTGTTCCGTCAAAGAGATGCAGAGAGGGGTAGATGACCTGAGAGCGGGCACCACAGTGGAAATCGCAACCTAATGGGGCTCTGTGGTTCCGCACATACATACAATCAGCTCTATGATTTATGAGTGGCCCTGCCAATGATGATGACGGCCATGATGCAGAATCTGACCAAGTTTGTTCTGCTTCAGTAGGCTCCAGAGGAAGAGATGGGAATGTACCCCAACATGTGAACCTCTCGGCCTCATCAATGCTCATGATTGCAATGCAGTACACCTCCAACCCAGGTATGTATGTGCTTATTGTTACATCATAGTATTTAAAGTAACTATGGACATATTTCCAGTGAACCTGAACTGAGATACATGGAGGCGGCCACTGCTGACCCCCTTCTTAAAATGCTAGTTGCATGGCTGTCTCAGGCGTTGGTACACTGAGCCACTGAAACAGGACACGCATGCGAAGACTGGGGCCATGAGGAATCATTCAATTCATAAATCACCATTGCCTGGAGTTCTCTCTTACTTCACTGGCTGAATAGTTGTTCCAGATCAGTTACTAAACTGTATGGAAACTGTTTACCATTTTGCATGAATATATTCATGTCTTGTCACAATATACGGCAGCAGCATCATTTTTCAGAAAAGCTCCACCTTTTAGCATTTGTGTGTTCTTCACCTCCACCTCCAGCCTCAGTCTCCCCTCCCCCAGTGATCAGACTGCTGCAGGCAGGAGGAAGCATTTCTTCATTCCCCCCTCCCCCAGTGTTCAGTCTGCTGCATGCAGGAGGAAGCATTTCCATAGTCTCCTCTCACCCAGTGATCAGTCTGCTGCAGGCAGGAGGAAGCATTTCCATAGTCTCCTCTCACCCAGTGATCAGTCTGCTGCAGGCAGGAGGAAGCATTTCCTCAGTCCCCCCTCCCCCAGTGATCAGTCTGCTGCTGGCTAGAGGAAGCATCTCTTCAGTCTCCCCTCTTTCAGTGATCAGATAACATGTAACCAGTCCTAAGATGAGTGGCTGGTCTATGTCAGACATTTGTGAACACAGGCAAGAACATCAGAATTTACATATCTGCATCATCTTTGAGCTGGGATCACAGTCCAGGAAGTTGATGGTGACCCTGGATGATGCCTGAACAAAGCTCTATTTTAGAATGTATATGTCACTTTACATACTGCATGTTCACATCAGTTGCCACCCGTAAGGAGCCCACAATAAAGGGTTCTACTCTCACATGCTAGGGTCAATTTACCTACCTGCATGTCTTTAGAGTGTGCAAAGAAACCACAGTACCCAGAGGAAACACACACAAGCTCAGGGAGAGCATATAAACTCCATGCAGATGGTGTCCAGGCCAGGATTTGAACAAGGGACCCCAAGTGATGCAAGGCAGACGTGTTAACCACTGAGCCACCTTGCTGTCCATGCCTGGCTAGCTCCGTCCTGTAAATAAAATCGAATGCAGTGGGAGTGCTGTGATCTCTGTGAGAGGTTATGCACATTATGCAGCATGCTTGCTCTTAACTTAAATCTGATGCTAGGTCCACTTTAAGCCGGAGACAGCCAGGCCCCTAACATTTTCAGCCGCCAATGGCAGCTCCTGCAATTCTCTACAAAACTCTACAAGTTTCCTTTAATTTACTTTTGGGATTCCAGTCTTGTAGCATTAATACCCGTACAGTAGTAACATTGTAGTCATAATAGTTATTATCGCAGTTTCCTTTTTTTTTTTTAGCATTCTGTGTAAATTTGATATTGTTACCATATCTGTAGATGTGACATGATACGTTTGGTTGTATGTTGTCCTACAGTGTATCACTGTCAGCTGCTGGAGTGTCTCATGAAGTACAAGCAGGAGGTGTGGAAAGTAAGTACGAGACATGAAAGGGAAACGAGAAGTTTATTGATTGTATTTTTCTTGTTCAATGTTTCTATGAAAGAGATAACAATAAAATTAAAGGAGAACTATGAGGTGAGTGATTTTCACTCACCTCATAGTTCCAGCCGACCTGTGACAATGAGACTGTCACAGGTCGGCTCAGTAGATCGGGAGGTGAGCGAACACATACCGGCGTTCGCTCACCTCTCAATCCTGTCACGGCTCTCTGCCGTGATAGGGGAGGGGCTGGATTCCCCCCGCTCCGATCCGCCAGCGCTGACTGGTGGAATGGACGGGGGAGGGGGCGGGTACAGCTGGCTCTGCCTCTAGATAGGCAGAGCCAGCTGTCACTCACGCAGCTGGGCGGATCTCGACATCGATGTCGGGATCCGCTCCGGCTGCGGCGTCTCAGTATACCGCGAGCTGTAGCTCGCGGTATACTGAGCTGAGGGTGACGGGAGAACGCTAGTTTGTGTCCTCCCGTTACCCTAAGGAGAACTATTGGGAAAAGCCCTGACCCCATAGTTCTCCTTTAACATAAAGGACAAATGAAGTACAGTAAGTACATAAGCAAGACGAGTAATACAAGAACTTCGTAGTGGAACATCAAGTGGGAGCATAATTCAAAGCAACATTTCACGTGGAAGTATCAATGGGCTCAATTGGAATAAAAATGCAATATAGGATACAGGAGCCGCTAATGCTGAAAGGGGGAAGAGAAAGAAAGCTGCTGCTGCTAGGCAAACTCGGTACTCCAACCCTTGTGAAACTACAAATCCTTTCATGCTTCTTCCTCTGGAGGTCGTGCCTGTGGCTGTCAGAATTATGTAATGTCTCATGGCACTTGTAGTTCCACAGCATGTGATCTGTACAGAAGCGTCATGACCGGGTGATGATCAGATACAGCTAACCAATCAGTAGCTCTGTCACTAGAGTTCCCGTCCCGGGGCCAGAGTGACAATGTGACAATGTGAGATGATAGCACCAGGCATGCTTCCCCCCGTGTTCAGCACCTATGGAGTTGGCTCTATGCAATCGCACAGTTTGGATTTTTGGGCTTTGTACTAAGAGGTGATGTGCGGCTGACACTTGTAGTCAAATAGCAAAAGGTTTTCCTGGCACACTCACCATCCAGCATGTAAAAAAACCTGTCTCACACTAAGGTTAAAAACAGAGGTTTAGATACATGTCTTCTGCAGAAAATGTGAAAGCCGCACAGCCGCGCCAAGGCACCTCTTATAGTGCGGTCTCAGCTGCCATTGGGAGGTGCGGGATCCCTTGTGCGTCTCTGTGCCTTTAAGGGGGTTGGGCTTCCTCCTGACAAACCTGCACCCAATTTGATATCTTCTTCCCCCATGTGCTCCAAGATGGAGGCTCTTATAGTTTAGAGTTAGGACCGCACTATATGGAGGTGCCTTGGCGCGGCTGTGCGGCTTTCACATTTTCTGCAGAAGACATGTATCCACACCTCTGTATCTAACCTTAGTGGTGAGACAAGTTTTTTTACATGCTGGCTTGTGAGTGTGCCAGCAAAACCTTTTGCTATTTTACTGTTTAAAGCCCATTCCGTGTGCACCTTACTGTAAAGCTGGTGACGAATTGATGAGTACATTTGTCATCTGTCTTGCTTGACACTTGTAGTCCCCCCGACACAAATTGTATGAACCCGCTCTAATATGAAATTTACATTTCTGGCAGGATCTGTTGTATGTCATCGCCTATGGACCCTCCCAGGTCAAGCCGCCAGCGGTGCAGATGTTGTTTCATTATTGGCCTAACTTGAAACCCCCCGGGGCGATCAGCGAATACCGTGGGCTGCAGTACACAGGTGAGATGAAGAATAAAATGTCTTCTTAATAATGACGAATAATATTAAAGCAGAACTGTCCGAATACACAGAATAAGCACATATATGGGAGCTGTTTTACCTGCCAAAAGATTTGTATATCTGTCCATCTTTTAATGTGAGCAGGTTAAGTACCTAAATGTGACCTGCTATCAGCCTGTTGCAGTCCCTGAATAACAGGGCTGGAGTGTGAGAGGAAGAAGCAGCACAAGGAGCCAATCAGTTCATGTTCTGACAAGGAACATGCTGATAGAAGGACAGAGCAGAGACATGAGCTCATCACTGTGCTGCTTCTCCCTTCACTGTCCAGTCACAGACTAGGAGTGCGTTCTGGATGACCTGGACTCAGAGGAAGTGAGTTGAATGATGCTGGCCACCAGACTGAGGACATCTAGTGGTAAAAAAGAAGCTCTGCAGGGGACAGTTTTAGATTGAAGGTGAATATTAAAACAAGAGCTTCTTTTTATGTTATCCTTTAATTAACTTCATTTTTATCTCATTATTTTTGGCTGGTGTTCAGAAATGAATCAGCACTGCATGCTATGTCTTGCCTGGAGGATGTATGTGGTGGATTATGTTTTAAAATCTTTGCTTTGCAGTGTATGCAGTGTGTTGCTGTCTTTATATCTCTGTGCTTTGTGCAGTTTTGTTTCTTGATAGTTTTTTTCTTATGTTGTCCCAGCGTGGAATCCCATCCACTGCCAGCACATAGAATGCCACAACGCCATCAACAAGCCTGCTGTAAAGGTATCGAAAACCTGTATTCATTCATTCACATGGGATATATATAGGATATGTTATAGGATGTATATAGGATATATTATTTTTCATATATAGGATATACAGTACACTATGCTGTCTGGTGCCAGCTTGAGGTGGGCTGGGGGTATGGCCATGAGTGAGCTCCATCCATACGTACATTGCTTTCCAGCTCCCTCGCATGCCCTGTAGAGGTGACTGGACCAGAATGGCGTCACATTCTGGCTCCCGGCACCTCTACAGGGTGCGCACGGGAACTGTACAAGCAATGCATGTATGGATGGAGCTCAGTCACAGCATAGCAGCCCACACTGGACCCCAGGCTGAGGATCCACTCCAGTTCTCGTAAGGTAGGGAGAAGGGGTGGATCTTAAAATAAAAAAATGGGGGGATGGGGGGCGGGAGTGTGTATATGTGTGTGAGATTGTGTCTGTGGTTCTGTCTGCCTGTCGGTGTTTTTGAGGGCCTATTCACACGAATACAATTCGCTAGTCGCAGAGTCCCGCTCTGTACCATGCAATCACCTCGCCATGTGTTCTGGTGCCGGAGGTGCGTGGCGTTGCCGGTTATTTGAATGCTACCCCAAATGCACCTCCCACCCGCAGTCTTATCGCACGCCCCGGAAAGTACAATACCACAATGCTGTGTGTTCCAGTGTAGTGTGACTTGGGTCATGACTTAATGACCAAGGACAAATGTGGGTCTTGAGGTTACACAGGTTGGGAACCACTGCTATAGTGTATTGTAGGGACCACCCAGTAGCTTTAGATGGCCTATTCATTTTACTATTGGTCTGATATCCACTTGTCACTGTACATGACACTGTATAAATTATCTTTATCCATAGCAAATATTAAGAAAGTGTTTCCCCCGATTCCTAATTGTCTGAAACAGTATGTGATTTTATGTGCAGCTGTTGTTGGTGCATGTGATACTTCAATTATACCACTAGATGGCGCATGGAGTCTGTAAGATGCACACACTATGTAATACAAGGGCAGATCTGATGGGATATAAATTGGATGAATGGTACTTCAAGCACTATGTTGTTGTTGTTGATTAGTTTTAAGTAGTTTTTGTACACATGTGGCCATCTTTAGAGACTGCATGTAAATATAACAAAGTTATATAAATAAAAATTAAATATTATTAAAGTAATTTTAAAATGAATTTGGTTATTTGGAAGCTCCCTTCAATGGTATGGCCATGGAATGGGACATCATTCTTCAAGGATTTCAGTACTATGGTCTACATCGTGGCAGTATATATAATGTATATGCTTTCTTGTGGTAGATGTGTATCGAAGCTGCTCTGTCCGTGGCTCTGGGCGATAAACCTCCCCCATTGTACCTCTGTGAGGAGTGCAGTCAGAGGATTGCCGGGTGAGTCACTGTGTGTAGCTGGGCAGGGAGTGAACGGGTTAAATATCTTATGGTTTTTGTTAGGAAAATTTACTTTATTGGTATTTTATGACAACTGTACGGATAAAAGTCAACACTAATATCTATCTATCTATCTATCTATCTATCTATCTATCTATCTATCTATCTATCTATCTATCTATCCATCCATCCATCTCTCGCGCTCTCTCTCTCTCGCGCTCTCTATCTATCTATCTATCTATCTATCTATCTATCTCTCGCGCTCTCTCTCTCGCTCTCTCTCTCTCGCGCTCTCTCTCGCGCTCTCTCTCTCGCGCTCTCTCTCTATCTATCTATCCATCCATCTATCTCTCGCGCTCTCTCTCTCGCGCTCTCTCGCACTCTCTCTCTCGCGCTCTCTCTCTCGCGCTCTCTCTCGCGCTCTCTCTCTCGCGCTCTCTCTCTCGCGCTCTCTCTCTCGCGCTCTCTCTCTCGCGCTCTCTCTCTATCTATCTATCCATCCATCTATCTCTCGCGCTCTCTCTCTCGCGCTCTCTCGCACTCTCTCTCTCGCTCTCTCTCTCGCGCGCTCTCTCGCGCTCTCTCTATCTATCTATCTATCTATCTATCTATCTATCTATCTATCTATTTATCTATCTCTCATGCTTGTTATCTATCTATCCATCCATCTATCTCTCGCGCTCTCTCTCTCGCGCTCTCTCGCACTCTCTCTCTCGCTCTCTCTCTCGCGCGCTCTCTCGCGCTCTCTCTATCTATCTATCTATCTATCTATCTATCTATCTATCTATCTATCTATTTATCTATCTCTCATGCTCTATCTATCTATCTATCTATCTATCTATCTATCTATCTATCTATCTATCTATCTATCTATCCATATTTAGATTAGCTGAATTCCCCTCATTAGCCCAATACTGTCACCCCCAACCAAAATAACAGAGTGAAGCCCCTTTAAGAGGGACTGTTCTTTCCCAGTACTAGATGACCAGGCTGTTCTGTTGAGTAATCCAGGGCCACACAGCAAGTGGAATCTTGTAAATACCCTGGAGCAGGGTTGACGGGCACCTCTTTTGGTCTGATTATAATATAAGAGGGTCCATTTGATCTCTCTGTCAGTCCATCCGTCAGTCCATCAATGGACCTGGCACAGGCTGGACACATAATGACGCTTCTAAAGGATTACTATAGAAAATGTTTCCTGTACTGAATGTAACTGAGAATGAAACAGACATATACAATGTGTCACCTAAGGACTCACTTTTCCACCCACAGGGATCACAGTGAATGGCTCATAGATGTTCTTCTCCCTCAAGGTACATTTCCTATTGTTCTGAATTTTCTGTTTTGTGCAGTAAAAAAAAGGTTGGGGCATTTTTTTTATGGGGGTTGAAGAACTGGTCCTCAGCTGGATCTCAGCTGGCATTTTCCAGGGTGGGTTTTCTTTGGTCACTCTGTGGAAATTCAAACAGATTTTCTTCTTCTGGTCACACGTCGGCTCAATAGATCGGGAAGTGAGCGAACACATACCGTCGCTTGTTCACTTCTCGATCATCTCCCTGCAGAGAGCCGTGACTGTCACTCACCACTCCCTGCAGGGATTCCACTCTCCTCGCTCCGATCCTCCAGCGCTGACTGGCGGAACGGACGGGGGAGGGGGCGGATACCTCTGGATAGGCAGAGCCAACTGTCAATCACGCTGCGGCGGTCTCAGTATGCTGCGAGCTGTATACTGAGCTTAGGGTGACGGGAGGACGCTAGTTTATATCCCCCCGCGACCCTTAGGGGAACTATGGGGGAAAACACTGACCCCATAGTTCTCCTTTAAGCTCTCAAACTTTTTTCAATAATGAATCCGGATCAAACAAATATACATTCGCCAGAAAAGCATTGCTTCACGTTTTTACCCAAGCACTTACACTCATCATGTTTCTGAACAGCTCCAACTCTCTTATCTCAGTTTCCCTGAACTTCCTGTCCAGTATAAGGTCACAAGGGACAGAGCAGTCTCCAGCAGCTGTCCATCTACTAGATTAGAGAAGATAGGATGGGGGAGCACGGAGAAGGGGCCATTCTGTCCCTGTGTGTTTGTGTAGAAACACGCAGCTCACTAGCACACACAAGGGTGGCTCCAAAGCTATCATGACCAGTTGAACATAAAGGAACCCCATCCATTGCAAGATATTGAATTAACATTTGAAATATCTTATAAACCTTTTGACTTTAATATCACTTTAAATATAGAAACGAATATAAATCTTGCATAACCCGAACGGCAAGGAGGCAGCTGAAAGATATTTTTTTTTGCATAAACTAGACATGACTGATTCTCTTTAAAGCAGCAACATTTTGTATATTTACATTGCCCAGATTTTAGCCCTCTTCAGTTTAATAATTGTCCTTTATCAGGGACGTCTGACATCTTTAAGTGTACCTGTAATGTTGATTTTTGACCGCATGGAACGGACGTTGCTCATTGAGTTTTGTGTATATCTCATACAGCTGAAATTTCAGCCATTTGTCAGAAAAAGGTAAGATCGGTATGGCACCATCATCAACCATTGCCGCTGTGACGTGTCTGCTTGTGGCCGCTTATGTCATCGTCGTTATGCCTCATTGACTTGTGCAGTGGCTACATCACATGTGATTGTGTGTGCTATCAACCCAAGTGTGATTATTACACGGGGCATTCTCATTGTCGTGACTGTATCCATTGTGTTGTCAGTGTCCGCCTGTGATGCTTTAGGAAAAAATAATGTCACTTAGGGCTCATTTACACTGGAATCGTCCGTCACGTACAGCTCCGTGCTGTGTGCGCGGCCGTATCGGGCAGCTCCCGGGAAGGACGGGTGCTGCGTGTGATTAGTACGCAGCCCCCGTCCTTCTCTATGGGACTACGCGGCCGTACGCCCCCCTACGCTCACCTCAAGTGCACGTCTGTGCGTGTGTGGGTGATCGTACTCGCACTCTGACAGGATGGATCCTGTCTTCCTCCGAGCCAGGAAACACGCACCCGCACGGACCTGCACTTGAGGTGAGCGTAGGGGAGCGTACGGCTGCGTAGTCCCATAGAGAAGGACGGGGGCTGCGTACTAATCACATGCAGCACCTGTCCTTCCCGGGAGCTGCCCGATACGGCCGTGCACACAGCCCGGAGCTGTACGTGACGGCCGATTTCAATGTAAATGAGGCCTTAAAGTGACCCTATCATGTTAAAAGAAATGTTGCAGAAATGTTCTTGCAAAAGAAGTGGTATTTCTCTTATCTCATGTGTCTCCTACCTCTCTCTGTTCCAACCCTGCCGCCTCTGTTAGTTTCTTTAGCATTGAACACTTCGGAGAGTTTCGGATGCCTCTGTCCCCTGCTTCGCACTGAGGCTCCACCCCCCCATCCCTGAAATATCTGCTGCTTCCTGTAGTGATGCAGGGTTCAGCTTATTTTTTTATTTATTTAGAGCTTGTGCTTTATTGGGTGATGTATTTATGGTTGTTGATTAAATTTAGAGGCGTATTTATTAAAAAATGTATATACTGTTTTATTTTTACATATATAATAAAACATTTGCAGAGCTATTCTCTGGGAAACTGCATGTACAGTCGTTCTGTGCAAATAGGGCAAACACGAATTAGTATATTTTCTTTCTGGGTCAAATGTAATCCTTTCGTAGGATTAGGCCTCATTCACACTGAGCGATTCGCAAATCGCGAGTTTGTCGCGAGATTTGCATTGTGCGCGATATCGCGCAAATGCTTGCATTGAGCAAGCTAGAATTGCGGCAAAATCCGTTCCAAAACGGGTCCTGCTGTAGCGACGCGCAACAGCGACGGACAGAGCCCCATTGCCTTGCATTGGAGAGCGATATCGCGCGGTAAATAGCCGAGATATCGCGGGAATTACGATAAATCGCTCAGTGTGAACGTGGGCCTTAGAGTGAATCAGGAAAATACCACATTATGGCCCCCAGATCGGCTCCATCTAGTGGTCATAATGTGGTATTTTCCTGATTCACCCCCAATCATATGAAAAGATTACAATCAACCTGGAAAGAAAATATACTAATACACTTTGAGGGTTATTCACAGAATGGTGATGAGTTTGGAGAAGGCCGGAGAAGCGAACAATCTAGGACAACATAGCTGACCTGGAAAGTGGGCTGAATTGGAGAATTTTTCCAAATCAGCTGTTTTGGCCTAGATTGTTCACTTCTGCCAGACTCTGCACCCTTTTGTATAACCCTGTTTGTGTTGGCCCCATTCGCACAGAATGAATGAACACACAGCTTTGTGGGATGAATGGCTCCCCACACACCTGGCCTCAGGCGGCTATAAGTCTAGGGGTGCCCCTGATCTCATCATCACCCTTATTTGAGATCCTGAGCATGCAGTAACTCAAAAAAGGGTATTAACTGACTGGATTGTGGCCAGTGGGTGGTCCCCACATATTGAGGAGCGGGAGCACCCCGATCTTAGGCTTGATCTGAGCCGGACTGCCCGGAAGGTGGGTATGGTAGGTGCAGGCTATGAGCAGGGGTGACAGTGTCCCGGGGACTAGGATTTAAATGTTGGTAAGTAGACGCCAAACATCTAAAAACACAATTTTATTGTCACATTTTTCGGATAAAGAAGTTTTAATTATCTCCCCTCTATTTTCCAGAACTGTAGCTCTCACGTCAGGCGGGCGGTGGTGACGTGCTTTTCCGCCGGCTGCTGTGATCGTCACGGTAACCGGCCGGTGCGCTACTGTAAACGTTGCCACTGCTACCACCATAACCAAGAGGCGGGGGGAGCTTCCTCATCGGAGACGCACTTATTCCAGACGTCGCCGCCTCCTATTAACACCAGAGAGTGCGGAGCGGAGGAGCTGGTGTGCGCAGTAGAAGCTGTAATAAGGTATCGTCTGCCCTTACAGGACGCAATCTAAATCCCCACCAGCTAATATATTGCAAGCCAAGACTTGTATGAGGATAATGTTTGCTTATCCCGGAGTTCAGCTTTTAAACCTGTCCCAGGGACACAACAGGAAGTTAGAGCAAATCTCCACAAATAAAAGGGAATTCCCTTCAGTTTTGGGGGGGGGGTCCCCATTGGAGAAATTCCCCTCACTTCCTGTTCTGATGACAACTCATGACAATGATCACCAGTATATGTCCATTCTCCATTAAAAGTGTAGTTGGACGCTCATGGCTGGTTCTACACATCCAAGGTCACTAAACTCCGGTTATCTTTGCAGTTTGCTGAAGGAGGCAGAGTATCACGCGGAGCAGAGGGAGTACGAGATGAACCGACGGAGGCAGATGGGCTTGGCCTCCTCCCATCATTCTTTGGACAACACCGACTTCGATAACAAGGATGACGATAAACACGACCAGCGTCTGCTCAGCCAGTTTGGAATTTGGTTCTTGGTGAGATCCGGGGGGGGGGGGTTCGGGGGGGCCGGTAGGTCTTTGTTTGGGCT